CAAACTACTTATCCAACAGGTGATTAATATCCAAAATATACAAGGAACTCAAACATCTCAATAGCAAACAAAACAATCTGATTTAAAAATGGGCTAATGATCTGAACAGACATTTTCTCAAGAGAAATGGTCAATAAATATATGAAAAAAAAAAAGCTCAACATCACTAATCAGAGAAATGCAAATCAAAACCGCAATGAGATATCATCTCACCCCAGTTAGGATGACTATTATCAAAATGGCAAAAACAAAACAAAACAAAAAAAAAAGAGGATGCAGAGAAAAGTGAAAACTCTTACACATTGTTGGTGGGAATGCAAACTAGTATAGCCACTATGGGGAACAGTATGGAAATCCCTCAAAAAAACATAAATGGAACTGCCATACAATCCAGCAATCCTACCTACTGTAAATGTATACAACAAAAAGGAGATCATTATAGGGAAGAGACATCTGTACCCCATGTTCACTGTAGCACTATTCACAATAGCCAAGATATGTAATCAGCCTAGGTGTTCAACAACAGATAAATGGATAAAGAAAATGTGGTATTTAAGGCCAGGCACAGTGGCTCACACCTGTAATCACAGCACTTTGGGAGGCCGTGGTGGGTGAGTCACTTGAGGTCAGGAGTTTGAGACCAGCCTGGCCAACATGGTAAAACTCCATCTTTACAAAAAAACACAAAAATTAGCCGGGTTTGGTGGTGGGCACCTGCAATCCCACCTACTCAGGAGGCTGAGGCAGGAGAATTGCTTGAAACCAGGAGATGGAGGCTGCAGTGAACTGAGATTGTGCCACTGCGCTCCAGCTTGGGTGAAAGAGCAAGACTCCCTCTCAAAAAACAAACAAAAAAAGAATGTGGTATTTATACACCATGGAATACCATGCTGCCATAAAAAAGAATGAAGTTTTGTCATTTGAGGCAACAAAGACGGAACTAAAGAACATTCTGTTAAGTTAATAAGCTAAGAACAGAAAGTTAATACCACATGTTCTCACTCATAGGTGAAAGCTAACAAGTGTTCATATAGAAGTGAAAAATACAAGAGAAAACACTAGAAGCTGGAAAGGGAGGGATGGAGGATATTTGTTAAAAGATACAAAATTACACTAGGTAGAAGGAGTAAGTTCCAGTGTTCTACGGCACTGTAGGATGACAAGAGTTAACAATAATTTATTACGTAGTTTCAAATACCTAGAAGAAAAATACCGAATGTTCCCAACACAAAGAAATGATAAATGTTTGTGATGATGGATATGCTAATTACCCTGATCTGATCACCATACATTGTATGTAGCAAAACATCACTATGTACCCCATGAGTATGTACAATTATTAGGCAATTTTAAAAAATTTTTGGATAGTTTCTATTTTATCATTGTCTATGATGCAAATGTACATAATAACCAAAGATTTTATTAACTCTAAAAGCTTTAGGAGAAAACAGAGGAGAATATTTTTATGATCTTGGGGGAGACAACTATTTTTTAAAGACCCAAAAAAGTAAAAATGATAAAAATGTATAAATGCAACTACATTAAAGTTTGTTCATCAAAAGACAACATAAAAACATTAGAAGTCAAACCACAAAGCAAAAGATATCAGTATTTGCATCTAACTGCACGTATAACTTTTTAAAATGATAATATAGAATAAATTTTATGACTCCTTAAGAAAAAGACAGAAATCCCATTAGAAAAATGGTCAAAAGTTATCAACAGTTATTTCATTAGAAATGATATACCAGGTCAGGCACGGTGGCTCATAGCTGTAATCCCAGCACTTTGGGAGGCTGAGGCAGGTGGATCACTTGAGGTCAGAAGTTCAAGACCAGCCTGGCCAACATGGTGAAACACCATATCTACTAAAAATACAAAACTTAGCTGGGCATGGTGGTGCATGCCTGTAATCCCAGCTACTTGGGAGGCTGAGGCACGAGAATTGCTTCAACTCAGGAGGCAGAGGTTGTAGTGAGCCAAGACTGCCTCACTGCACTCCAGCCTGGGCAACAGAGTGGGAGCGTCTCAAAAAGAAATAAATAAGAAACAATACCCCAAAGTCCTTTAAACGTATGAAAAGATACTCAAATTTATTAGTAATCAAAGAAAGGCAAATTAAAACCATTAGATAAAATTCACATCCACCAGATTTTCAAAATTAAAAGATATATGAATTAATTTCTGAGTTCTCTATTATTTTATATTGATCTACATGCCTGCTTTTATGCCAGTACCATGCTGTTTTGTTTACTACAGCTTTGTAGTGTATTTTGAGTTCTGGCAGTGTTCTGATTCCAGCTTTGTTTTTTTTGCTCAGGATTGCTTCGGCTATTCAGAATCTTTTGTGGTTCCACACAAATTTTACAATTTTTTTTATTCCTGTGAAGAATGACACTGGTATTTTGATAGGAATTGTATTAAAGCTATAAATTGCTTTGAGTAGTATCAAGTGTTGGTAAGAATTTTAAGCAAAGGAAACTCTCATGCACTGCCGAGACGAGCATAAATTGGCTTAGCCAATTTAAAAAATAATTTATCTTGTAAATCTGAACATATATGCTACCCACAATATTTATTTCTAGATATATATTTTAGTAATGCTTGACAAACTCTAGACAGTGACTCACCCAATTCACTGATTTCTAATCAGTATTTTAAAATAGAATAATATGGAACGGAAAATACTGGTATACATTGCAGGTGGTTCAAGGTAAAGTATGGCTTTGTGAGAGTTTACGCGCGCGCGCGCACACACACACACACACACACACTCATCCACACACTTATAATGCAAAATGCATTTCTTACTGTGGGTAACGTGCCAAAGAGTTTCAAAGTTACTGCCCTATGGGGAAACTCTTACACATGAGCTCTAACAGACACAGAAATGGCATTACGTGGAACAGCAAAACCCTGTAAAAAACTCAAATGTCCTCCTAGATGTAGAATGGACAAATAACTTCTTGTGTATGGATACACTGGAATGCTATACAGAGGTGAAAAAGAATGGTACCTAGTTACATGTATTAACATGAATGCTTCCCAAAAACATAATGTTAAACAAGAAAATCAAGTCACAGAAGAACATACCAAGTGTGAATCTATTTATATGAAGAGGTGTCAGAATAAGCAACTTTAAGGATTTAACTGTGGTAAAAGTACAATGAAAAAGAAGAAAAGAATAAATACAATATTCAGGTTATCTTGAAAGTGACAGAGGCTGACGGGATGAGGAATACAAACTAAGGGTTTCTACGATTCTGGTTAGTTCTTAAGCTGAATGGTAGACACACAAAACGTACGTTGGTGGCATCTGAGTCACATAATTTACCAGCCCTAGTGCTGATCTTAGGTATCACTGTTATATGGAATAACTTTTCCTATTGTTTAAGCCCCATTTTGAGTTGTGTCTTCCATTACTTTTAGTTTAAAAACCCTCAAGCTGAAACAGCGTGTAAGTTTGCATCCTGTGCCACTGGGATCTGACTTAGTATAAGCTATCATTTAATCCTATTCCATTTGTCTAATTGTATCAATAAAACCTTATAATATTAGCAACCCCAAACTATTAAAAAAATTGTTTGGAAGAAAGTGACTTAAATGCTAAGCTATTTTAAAGAGACTCATTAAAATAGCTTAGCGTTTTTTCAGTCCTAAAATGTTTCTTCCCTGGAAATGTTCAGATTAAGCATATGTGATACCAAGAACAATCAAGATTGAAGATCTATAAAACGTCAAACAGATAAGGAGCAAGTCGGGCTTGTACTCTTGCCCTCAGCAGGGAACAGTTTGATCTGCCTGGAGGATCACACAGTTATTGGGGCTACAGACTGGAGGTCAAAGCACAGGCAGAATTCAGCCACTGCAGGAGTCCTCAAAACGAGAAAGAACAAGGAAGTGAAGATATTTTATTCAGAAAGGCGCTTGGGCTCTGCTGTTTTGGCCAGAGGAATAAATAACAGTGGTTTCTCCATGGACAAATCCTATGCTGGAGACCAGCCCAGCTGAGAAAGTAAGATTTCCATGCCACCACCTTGGCAGACACACTGGAAAGGGTAGATAAGAAAATGGGATCTACAGAGGGAAATAGACACACGCCATTTATGCTATCTGCCAGAAACTTAACAAGGTACACCCTCAATGTGCGGTGCTTAGTATCATCCTCAAGATAGATCCACAAAGCTAAGTCTCCCTATTTTACTGATGAAGGTGCTGGAACTCAGAGGTTAAGTAAACTGCCCAGGTTACCCACCCAGTCATTGGTGAGGCTGAAACTCAAACTTACAGCTGTGTGATCCTAAAACTCATATTCTGTTTTTGAGACAGTGTCACGCTTTGTCACCGAGACTGGAATATGGTGCCATGATCTTGGCTCACTGCAACCTCTTCCTCCCAGATTCAAATGATTCTCCTGCCTCAGCCTCTCCAGTAGCTGGGATTACAGGCACCCACCACCACACCCACTATTTTTTGAATTTTTAGTAGAGACATGATTTCACCATCTTGGCAAGCTAGTCTCAAACTCCTGACCTCAAATGATCCACTCACTTCAGCCTCCAAAAGTGCTGGGATTACAGGTGTGAGCCACCGGGCCCAGCCTCAGATTCTTTTATACCTTATGCACAAAGAACAAGGAAGACTGTGGAACAACTCAATCTTGGAGCATTCCCTCTTAGAATGAACTCAAAGCTGCCCCCAGCAGCTCCTGCCCTCTCCTGCTAAACACAACGCTGGCCACACTGTGAAGATGCTACCCAGCTAAGCTCAGCAGGGTCCTGTTACAGAGGAGAATGCTACTGCCCTTGGTTCCCAGACCACAAGCACAGCCCTCACATCCCGTCAGCCACTTCTCACATGCGTAATCTTGGCCACAAGAGGAGTAGGTTAAAAAACAGTAAAGAGGATCTGCTCAAGGCAGCTGCAGCCCTGCTTCCCCCCACTTCAGCTCCACTCATGCTGTTTGGGCTTGTTCCACTGTTGGTGATTCCCACAATTACCTAAGGTCCAGCAAGAGACAGTCTCCAGGAGAGGGATGCTGCTGTAGATGGCGTGCATGTACATCAGGTGAGCCATCAGCTCGGCCAGCCACCACCAGAACAGAAGGCGGCCCAGCCCCAGGGCCAGAACACACAGGCTGGCCTTCAGGGAGTCACGCTCCTGCTGCTGCATCTAAAGTGGACACAAAAGAGGTCATTAGATGGTGCCTTGATTTCTGAAGCAGTCCCCTGGACGAGATTTTTCATAAACTTCCCGCAAATGTTATTGTGGTGTCAGCTGACAGGGTTGGTTTCGTTTATCTTGGGAACGCTCAATGTTCTTGGGTGGAAGAATCATATCTGAGCATGAACACTGTCTCAAAATAAGAATGGGGAACGGGGGGGGGTCAACAAACTAGCCTAGTGCCAAGAACCAAAGACAGGTTCAGTGGAGTCATCGTTCCACTCAAGCATCAGCCTGGAAAAACCCAAATGGGAGGGCAGGACTGGGTGTATTCTCCCCACTGGGAATCTGGAGTTTCTTTGGGCTACGGGTGCCACCCTGCCCGTCTTCCTCCATCACCTACTCATGTCTGAGGCTGGTAAAAGTAGGGCCCAGACAAAAAGAGGCACAGGACTGGTAGAAAAGGGAGAGAAAGACAGAGGCTGATAGCAAGGGAAAATGAGTGTGGGCGTGTCATTCCACCCTAAGTTGTTTTTGAAACATGGCAGACAGTACGTGGAACAAGTCTCTTGCTTAGTAGGTAGTAAAGCATAGTATTTAAGAATACAGACTTTAGAAAATGTAAGATAAGGTGGGGCATGGTAGCTCGCACCTGTAATCCCAGCACTTTGGGAGGCCAAAGTGCGTGGATCACCAAGGTCAGGAGTTGGAGACCAGCCTGGCCAACATGGTGAAACCCCGTCTCTACTAAAAATACAAAAACTGGCTGGGCATGGTGGCACATGCCTGTAGTCCCAGCTACTTGGGAGGCTGAGGCAGGAGAATTGTTTGAACCTGGGAGGCGGAAGTTGCAGTGAGCCAAAAATCAGGCCACTGCACTCCAGCCTGGGCAACAGAGCGAGACTCCCTCTAAAAAACAAAACCAAAAAAAAGTAAAATAAATCACTTTTGAGTAGTTTTGTCATGAAATAAATGTTGAGTCTGTCACTCCATAAACTCAGGCTGTTTTTCTGTTTGTCAGGTCTTCTTTAAATTTCTTTCAGCAATGTGTGTCACGTTCCATGCACAAATCATGCACCTCTTTGATTACAGTTATTACTAATTATTTTCTTTTTGATGTTGTTGTAAATGCAATTTTCTTCTTTAAAAAATGGACTTTAGAGTCAGAGAGGATCAAGATCAAAGTCTACCACAAACCACACAGCCACATGATCCTGAGCAAGTTACTGAACCTTTCAGAGTCTGGGTGTCCTCATATGTAAAGTGAAAATCATTGTTGCAATGATTAAATATGATTAAGTATGTGAAGTACTAAGTACAGTGACTGGAAGACAAGGAGCACTAGATACTTTGTAGTTAAAATCTATCATTATCCGCCTCCCACGTGTGTCCTCCCATCCTTCCCAGGAGGCGTGTGTCAACCAGCCACAGGGCAGCATGAGGAGACAGCTCAGGGCCAAACACCACAGGTAAGGGAAGGATGTGTTGATCATTCTTAGGTACAGCTAGAAGCTACTGAGAGCATACTCAATACATGTGGACAACACAGACACAAATTTTTAAAGCCTGGTTCTGTGGTCTCACCTCACTGCCTTTTTTTTTTTTTTTTTTTGAGATGCACAGTAATTTAAAACACAGATTCTAGAATTCGTAAACATGCTATAAAATTTGAAGTGAATTCAATTTCATTCAGCCTTATACCACTAAACAAATACAAATACAGAAAAACAGGAGAGCAGTAAGTTTTCAGGATCTTATAATGCCAAGATTTTATTACACTGAAAGCTCCCTTGAAACGCAGAGGACAGACTAATGCTAAATGACGAAGCTGGATCTGCCCAATCAGCCGGTAAAGAGCTCGATCTAGCATTTGACTATCAGGGCTCATGTCACAATGTAAACAGGAAAGGCCCATTCCATGAGGCACCTCCTTAGCTTCTCTCTCCTGTAACAACAGGGTGTAGTGGGTCCCACTGCAGCCAGCAGAGTGGCAGGCACTGCCCTCAGAGGGGAAGAGGGAGCTGCATACCAGGGAATTTATTTTTATTCTGCAGTCGCTCAAACTGTCCTCCTGCAACAAGAAGCCAGGCTAAGAAATTTTGGCTGGCTTATTGGCATGACAATCATCTGCACAAATAAGTTTCTCCCTTTTGCTATCTGCTTGGTTAACTATACCCAGAGAAGCTTGTTGGTTTAGCTTTCAAAATATAAATTAGGCCAGGTTGGGTGGCTCCCACCTGTAATCCTAGTACCTTGGGAGGCGGGGGCAGGTAGATCACCTGAGGTCAAGAGTTCGAGACCAGCCTGGCCAACATGGTAAAACCCCATCTCTACTAAAAATACAAAAATTAGCTGGGTGCGGTAGCACACACCTACAATCCCAGCTACCCGGGAGGCTGAGACAGGAGAATCGTTTTAATCCAGGAGGCGGAGGTTGCAGTGAGCCAAGATTGCACCACTGCACTCCACCCTGGGTGACAGGGAAACTCTGTCTCAAAAAAAGAAAAAGAAAAAAATTGGTAAAACTGACAGGAATTTCCCTTTTGCCTTGTTTCCCTCAGCTCACACTTCAGGAAGATATTTTATGCAGCCATACCAACTGCATTAAGAAACAGTAATAACTGCTTTGGAGAATTCATCTGGTTAGCGTTGAGAGGAAGCAGAACTTGGGTTCTCCAAGAAGGAAGATTAGGTATCCTGGGGTATTTGCAGACTTGTATCGATCACACCTAACTGCGATTACAGATGTGCAGGCAGACCCCGTTCTGGGCATAAACTGAGGATGGCCATTTGAATCCTTACCTCAAGCACGCACGCTCTGAGAGACCCTATAAAGTCTACGGTAGTGGATCTGTTACAAGCCAATCACTAAATCCTCAGTACAGGAACACCTACCTGCCAGATTATTCACGTTTGTGTTATTTAATAGACAAGAAAGTAAAAGGAAATAACCAAAATGTCCAATATTAGGGTGTTGATTAAATGCATGAATGTACCTCAATATAGTCACGAAAACTATTTTTGTTCAATGTGCATAAAACGATGAAGGCTGAAAAGATATACACCAAATGTCAACAGTGGTAATCTTTGGATGGTGAGAGTTTAATTATTTGACAATTAAAATTGTTTTTTTTTTTCTTTTTTTTTTTGTCTTTTGAGACAGTTTTACTCTGTTGCCCAGGCTGGAATACAACGGCGCAATCTCAGCTCACCCCATCCTCTGCTTACCATTTTCAAGCGATTCCCGTGCCTCAGCCTCCCAAGTAGCTGGGATTACAGGCATGTACCACCACACCCGGCTAATTTTTGTGTTTTTAGTAGAGGCAGGGTTTCTCCATGTTGGCCCAGCTGGTCTCAAACTCCTGACTTCCAGTGATCCACCCGCCTCAGCCTCCCAAAGTGCTGGGATTACAAGTGTGAGCCACTGCACCCAGCCAAATTGGTTCTTTCTTAAATCAGAGAAAAAGTAATGTGACCTTACAATATTGTGACTATTTGGGCCCCCTCTGCTAGTGAGGCACATACACTCAAGGCCCTTCTATTTCTTCATCCTGCTTCTGCAGATGCCTGGCATCATAACCTCTGCCACAAAGCCAAGGATCCTCTATGAGTGAGTATTCTTCTCCAAGTTTTATGCTAGACCAATTTTTTTCTCTCCTTACCTTCTCCCTTCATGCTTAGATTTTTTTTTTTAAGCTACGTGCCGAGTTCTTCTTTGTTCATTTGCAAACCTTTCCCAGCTCTCCAAAGCAAATTCATTTTGACCTAATAACCATTAGTGAATGAAGAAATGATTACAAACACACTGCTATGGTCTGCATGTTTATGCTCCCCTAAAATTCTTATGTTGAAATCCTAATCCCCAAGGAGATGGTACTAGAAGGTGGGGCCTTTGAGAACTGATTAGGTCATGAGAGCAGAGTCTTCGTGATTAGGATTAGCACTCTTATCAAGGAAACCTCATAGAGTTAGCTAGTTCCTCCCACCATGTGAAAACAGTGAGAAGGTGCCATTCTATGAACCAGGAAGCGGATCCTCACCCTACACTAAATCTGCCAGCACAGTGATCGTGGAATTCCCAGTCTCCAGAACTGTGAGCAATACATGTATGTTGCTTATAAGCCAACCAGTTTATAGTATTTTGTTACAGCAGCCCAAATGGACTATGGCAGAAAATCAGTACCAAGATGGGAGTGCTGCTGTAACCAAGACCCAAAAATACGGAAGCAGTTTGGAAGTGAGAATGGAGAGAGGCTGGAAGAGTTTTGAGGCGCATGCTTTAAGAAGTCTACATTGCTGTAAGTGGATCTTTAAGGGTGATTTTTGTGAGGGCTCAGAAGGAAAGGAGAAGAGCTGTAGAGAAAGCCTCAATATTCTTAGAGAATACTTAAGCAGTAGTGAACAGTGTTGGTGGCAATATGCATGCTAAAGGCCAATCTGAAAATTTCTTAGACAAGAGGAACATGGTATTGAAAACTGAAGGAAAGGCAATCCTGTTATGAACCAGCAAAGAACTTGGCTGAATTGTGTTCATATCCTAGTGTTTTGTGGAAGGCAGAACTTGTGAGTAATGAAATTGGATATTTAGCTAGAGCCATTTCTAAGCAAAATGTTGAAGGTACAGCTTGGCTCCTCTTGACTGTTTATAGTAAAACAGCAAAGGAGAAAAGTGATTTAAAGATAAAAATTGTTAATCAAAGGGGAAGCAGAACTTAAAGATTTGGAAAACTCTCAGTCTTTCCAAATTGTAAAGAATGAGAAATTCTGTTCAGGAGAGAACATTGAGCATGTGGCCAAACCACCACCTGATAAGGTTAGTCAGCTGTTTAAACAGAAGGCAGGACCTCCTGTCCATGACCACGGAAGAGTAATCCCAAAGGGAATTCAGTCATGATAACTATTTTGGTTCAATGTATATAAAATAATGAAAGACTGGAAAGATACACAGCAAATGTCAACAGTGATCATCTTGGATGGTGAGATTTTAGTTACATTTTACAATTAAAATT